AAAACTTTAATATAAGTGATGATGACAAACCTTGTCGAAACAAAGGTTAACTATTAATGGTTGGAGACGGCTTGAATGGGTAATGAAGAAAAACTTTAATATAAGTGATGATGACAAAACCTTGTCGAAACAAAGGTTAACTATTAATGGTTGGAGACGGCTTGAATGGGTAATGAAGAAAAACTTTAATATAAGTGATGATGACAAAACCTTGTCGAAACGTTGTACACTTGCTGTTATGTTAAACTTATATTAAAGTTTTCTTCATTACCCATTCAAGCCGTCTCCAATCATTATTAGTCTCAAAGTGGGTACCTCGTCATCGAAAAAGGTTAACTATCATAAGAATCGTTACTAATATACACGTTGTTATGAAACAGACAAGTGGGTTCTAGTCTGTAAAAAAGTTTAACTATCATACGGAATTGTTATTAATAAATACGTTGTTATGAAATAGATTATAGTCTAAAAACATAAATAGTTTAATAACTATGATATGGAATCTTCATTAATAAACACGTTGTTCTGAATAGATCATTGAATGATAGTCTAGAAACGAACATAATTTACCTATACAAGGAAATGTATAATAAGAACAACACCGTTATGAACAGATCACTGGATCGTAATCTAAGAAAGCAAATCACTTGAATATAAGAGGAAAGTGTGATTTGATTGTTGACTCTCTCTTTAATTTAATTTTCTCTGAAACTTTCACTATACACATCAATAACGTTCTAATTAAGTGTTGTAACACATTAAATATTATTTCATGTAGACAGATTTTGAAGAGACGATGGTTGGTCAAAGTGATGTATTTCGACTTCCAGTGATAAGGAAATCTTTTGGAACTCTCTATAAAATGTAAAGAAATAGGAGATGAAGAAGAAGGCCAGTAACCATTCAGCTGCGATGCTTACTCTTTTTCCTGTTGTTTGCTGCAGAAAAAAAAAATATGAGTGAGACCTTATTAACTTTTATATATAAAAAAGAAAATATACAGTTAGTGTGAAACAATAATACTCTGACTTGTTTTAATTTAAAAACTCTGCAGTGCAAGTATAAAATTCTGAAGACTTGTAAGCATAAAACTGGGGTATTGCAAGTATAAAACTGAGGTGGTGTAAGTGCAGAATTCTAAGTTGTTGTAAGTATAAAACTCTGAGGTGTTATAAGTATAAAACTGAGGTGCTGTAAGTGCAAAACTCTGAGGTGCTGTAAGTACAAAACTCTGAGGTGATGTAAGTATAAAACTATGAGTTATTGTAAGTATAAAACTCTGAGGTGTTGAAGTATAAAATTGAGGTGTTGTAATTATAAAACTCTGAGGTGTAAGTATAAAACTCTGAAGAGTTATAAGTATAAAACTGAGGTGTTGTAAGTATAAAACTTTGAGGTGTTTAAAATATTAAGATGTGGTAAATTTAAAACTATGAAATGTTGTAAGTATAAAACTTTAGGGAGTTGTAAGTATGAAAGTCTGAGGTGTTGTAGCTGTAAACTCTGAGATTTTGTAAGTATAAAACTGAATTGTTTTAAATAGAGAAATCTAAGGTCTTACAAGGAAAAAATATGAATTTTTGTAAAAATAAAGTTCTAATTTTTTTTTAAAGTATAAAACTGAATTTTATAATTGTAGAACTCTAAGAACTTGTAAGTATGAAAGTCGAAACTGTTGTAAGTAAGAAAACCTTGAGATATAATTTTTGAATTGCTCCGAGCAGTAGATATTATATAACTTAGTAATAAAAACAAATATGTATATAAATTTCCCAAGCTCTTGACTGTGCTTGGCTTTTTATACAAAACATTTAGTGTGCCGTTATTTTCATGATATCTATGCCATATAATTTATTTAGTTTATATAATCGCACTCTATCAGCTACTAATTGAGAAGGGGTTAATTGGTTGTCAAATACTATATCATGGATGGATGTTTAGTTGTATACTCACTTCTCCATTTTCTGTTCCATTTTTGTTTGTATCATCTACCCAAGTCTGGTTTTCCACTGGCACAGCAGACATCACTTAACAGACAGCTAAAGATTTACACGTTTTGTATAATGATTTAAATTCAATTTATATTTAGAAATGTACATAACTTATATTGTTATTTAACAATTGCAAAACTCCCGCCTATTCTCTAAAGTTGTAGAAGATTCTCGAGTGTGAGAATCAACAATATATGTGTATAGTAAACGCTAGTGTTGTGTGTCAGTATTGTTGCGTAAGCTGAAGTTTCGAGAAACAGTATCTACTAGACCACCGTGACTCGTTGGGTCGCCCACTATTCGGAGGTTATGAAGAATTCAAGCTAATTTCAATATTGCCATGAAATGAAGGTTTATTTGAGATAATTTAATTAAATATTTCAATCCATCCGTGTTATTCATAATTAAAAAAAAAGATATTTGATTGTTGATCGGGGGTAAAAGAAAGACCATTTCATTTTTCAAAAAAGTGAAGCAAGAAGTTTCGTAAAGAGCGCGAATGGTAATGTGATGTAAAATTACTCATGCTAGAAATTTTCATAAAAGTGACCCGAAAAACGGCGCTAACTCGGTAAACCGTGGCCCGAATTTAACGAAACTTGTTTTATTCTCTTTCTATTCTCATTTCAGGGGTACCGTATTTTTTTTTTTACAAATATGACTCTATTGTGCACCGTTTTTGCTGTAATTGATTACAGACAAGCAAACAAACAATCTCAGAGTAGTATATAGATTATTGGTTTTCTATAGTTGGTGTGCTATAAACTTCGGAAGCGATAACTGTGATTATTATAATGCTTATTAATCGGGACACTTTAAATATTTGACCAGGAACATTTATAAATTTCGAACATTACAAACCATTCAACTTCAGTGAATTCACATTGGACATTTGATTATGTCTGATTATCAAGATTTTCTTGAATCACCCTCCCTCGAACAACTAGAAAGATATAACAAAAATTAATTGCTCGAAATTGCTAAAGTTTTAGAACTTGGGGTTGACTGATAAAGATAAGTTAGATATCCAGCTAAAACTAAAACAACTCGAGCTTGAACAAGCTCGTATCGAAGCCGAGAAAGAACAAGCTCGTATCAAAGCAGAGAAATAACAAGCTCGAATCGAAGATGAAAGAGAAAATAAACTTCTCGACGCCGAAAAAAGCACGCATTGAAGCCGAAAAAGAAATTAAGCTAAAATAAATTGAAATTAGACTCAACTCCGATCGACCAAGGTAAAATGACAACTTTGAAGTTAATTGATATGTTAAAGTTCCACCATTTAATGAAAATGAAGTTGATAAATATTTCTAACATTTTGATAAGATTGCCCAAACCATGGAATGGCCCACTGAAAAAATGGTCGTTATTATCACAAAGTGTCTTAACTGGTAAAGCACAAGAAGCTTATGCCGCTCTCTCTAGAAGATTGCACGAATTGTGATAAGGTTAAAGCAGCTATTCTCAAACAATACGAGTTGGTACTGGAGGCTTTTCGCCAAAAGTTTCAAGATTATCGCAAACAAGATAATCAAACTTATATGGAATTTGCCCACGAAAAAGGAAGTTTATTTTGATCAATGCTGTAATTATATGCATATCTGCAACAGTTTCGACAAACTAAGACAATTATGTTTAATTGGGGAATTTAAACGTTATGCATGTGGCGACCTCAAAACTTACGTAGATGAAAAGAAAGTTGAAACGCTACAGGAAACAGCCGCTTTTTCTGATGACTACACTTTAACACATAAAACCATTTTTCATAAAAAGAAATTCCTACCATCTCAATAAAAAACCTGTATCTGTTTAATCCACTAAAGTTGAGGATACTTTTAAAAAATCCAGCTCCTCTAGTTCGAAATCTTCTGACAGTCAGTATAAAACTTCATCAAAACCATCAAGGCCTGTCTGCCATTTTTGTAAAGAACCTGGTCATGGTACGTCCAATTGTTGGTGTTTGAAAAACAAAAAAGAACAGGAGGCAACACCCAGTGCGTTTGTGTCCACATAGGGACGTAGTTTCACCAGATCACTTGGTGTTGTTGATTTGGCCATTGATATAAAGTTTGTTTGTTTGTTTTCGAATTTCGCGCAAAGCTACACGAGGGCTATCTGCGCTAGCCGTTCCTAATCTAGCAGTGTAAGACTAGAGGGAAGGCAGCTAGTCATCACCACCCACCGCCAACTCTTGGGCTACTCTTTTACCCACGAATAGTGGGATTGAGCGTCACATTAGAAAGCCCCCACGGCTGAAAGGGCGAGCATGTTTGGTGTGACAGGGATTCGAACCCGCGACCCTCAGATTGCTAGTCGAGTGCCTTAACCACCTGGCCATGCCGGGCCTTTGATATAAAGGCTGATGTAATCAGGGAGGAATTTAGACCTTTAGTGTTTGTTGGTTCTGTGTCTTTGGCAAATGACACTGCTAATCCCATATCCATACGTATTCTACGTGATGCTGATTGAGTCGCACCAGCATCACGTATTCTACGTGATGCTGA